GATTCCTAATAACTATTTCCCACGCCTTTAAAGCTGCAGACGCATACCCGGAAAGGAAAACAGACTTAAATCTATTCCTCAAGCACTCGGAGTCTCATTCTGACTCTGAGAGGAGACCACACTCTGTCTACCAAGCATTATTCCTTTTCTAACAAACTTTTCTTTGCCTCTCACTCCGGCTTGCCCTTGAATTCTTTCCTGCACAGAGCCAAGGACCCTCCCTCTCTCAGTACAGGACTTAAGCCCCGACTAGGGAGGGATTCGCCCTATCCTGCATCAGAGTGATGCTTCAATAATGTGTTTCCTCAGACACGCTGACAGCTCCGGAAAGCAGAATCTGTGTCTGCCTTGCTCACTAGTGCAGCTCAGCACTTAGCAAGGAGCCTGCACATGATAGTTGCTAAAAAAAAATGTGCTGAATGAATAAGAGTGGTGAAATCATTTTTTTTTTTTTTTTTTTTTTTTACTTTTATTAGCATTTATTTGATGCTGAATTTACTCCCAGGTCATAAGTTTTTGTTTCTCTAGTTTCTTCTGGGATGTCTTTTTCTTCTGTGTAATCTTCTCTTCTGGTTTAGGAACAATCTGCTCTTTTTCAGTGACGATCATCTTGGTGCGGCAAGGGGAGCTCACGTAGGCATTAATCCGCCCCTGAGCTCCATACCTTCTGCTCCGCATCTTGGGGAGCTCTGTTCGTATGGATGTGCTTAATGACCAGACAATCTGCACCTAAACCCTTAAGTTCAGCATTACTCTGTATTTTTAAGCATGTGCAGCAAAAGTTCAGCACTCTTTTTGGGCCACCAACCCTGTGTCCGGCCCCACTGTTTGGCCTGGGCACACCATGCGACTCTACCATTGTAACAACGGAATGGCACACATTGCTTTTGTAAAGTGACATCCCTCAGGTACTTGGTGGCTTTTCAGATACTTATACTCATGATGGCCTGAGCAGTTTCAAAAGTATTCTTAAAGTGAACATGAAAATTTGAACCTCTCTCTTAATTTGCATGATTTTGTGGGGTTTTCTGGGTCAAGTGACTAGCAAGCCATTTTCAGAGGTCATTTCAGGCCACTTACAGGACAAGCAACAGTGGTAAAAACTTTAAAAAACAGATTTAGTGCAAATTTTGTACTAATAGTACATAGAAAGACTATTTTAAAAGGAGTTAAGTAACTACTATACACCAAGTGCTTTACAAGCAGCATCCGGTCTTGACTTTAATGGGCATCACTACATGCATTTTCCAAGAGAGGAAACAAGCTCAGAGCAGTTAGGTGATTTAACCCAGGTGACAGCCAGAATGGGAGAATGGGGCAGGGGAAAGTGGGGGTAGGGGCATGATCAAGGAAAATGTGGACCAGACTAACTCTAAAGCCCACACAGTTCGACAAAGAGGAAGTGATCCAATAATCCCTGCATGAAGGAATAGTAAATTGAGGAACATTAAACAAACATGCGAACCTTTGAGAAATATAACCTAAAGATTTATAACCTAAATATAACCTAAATATTTATTAAAGATTTCATCATAGTACTTTGTTTTGTTTAAAGGGGGCTCCTACAGAATACCTAACTACTTTTACCAAAATTACATTCATGCTATTTGCTTTTAGTCTTTTTTTTTCTGATTTACAAAATAAAGATATGGACAAAGAAACGTTCCAAATCTCACAACCTAGAGAAAATTCACAGACTATTTCTCTCTGGGTACATTTTTTTAAAAAATTAACTGGGATCATTTGGTAGTTCTAGCACTGCATTTGTCCATTTTGATTTCGCATACAGGACAAGCAAGAGTGGTAAAAGGAGTTAAGTATTTTAACTCCTTTTAAAATAGTCTTTCTATGTACTATTAGTACACAATGAGGGTTTTTACATCACTAAAAATTCTTTGGAAAAACAATTCTTAAGAGCTGCAAAATCTTTCATTACATGGCAATTAATATAACTCATTTAACCAAACTATCATAAGTAAGCTTATGATACCAATGTAAAGATTTTTTCATAGAATAATTCAAACTTCTATTTCCAAAAACATAATTATTTCCTCAGTGAAATGGAATCCATAAATCAAAGGGTGTAAACAGTTTTGAAGCTCTTGATATATCCTGACACCTTGCATTCCAGAAAAGGCAGGCTAACAGTAGATTGCCTTCGCCAGCTCTGAGTTTCAGCACTTAAAAATCTTTCCAAATTTAAGGGAGGAAAAATGCTAATCCATTGTCATATTAATTAACCTTTTATTACAGTATTTCTTTTTTTAAAAAGCTGTTTTGGTCCTTTACTTATTTTTTCAATTAAAATCTTAATTTTTTCATTATTGTTCAGCATGAGCTCCTTCCACATGAGGACATTAGCTTTCCCTATAGTGGTGGCGAATATTTTTCCTAGTTTATAATTTGCCTTTTGTCATTTTTCATATGTGAAAGTTTATAAATTCTTTAACAGCTTTGTTGAGATACACCATATAATGCATCCATTTGAGTGTACACTCAGTGTTTTTTAGTATATCCAGAGTGCAACCATCACCACAACCTAAGTTTAGAACATTTTCATACCCAGGAAAAGAAATCTTGTATCTATTAGCAGTCACTCTCTATCCTCTCTACCGCCCTCACCAGTCCTAGGCAATGACTAATCTACTTTTTATCTCTCGAGATTTGCCTGTTCTGGACATTTCACATAAATGGAATCATAAAATATATAGTCTCTTAGAACTGGCTTCTTTTACTTTTTTAAGGCTCATCCATGCTGTAGTACGATTCTAAATTTCCTTTTTATTGCCAAGTAATAGTCTGCTACTATTATATGGGCATACCATATTTTATTTATCCATTCATCAGTTGATGCACATTTAGGTTAGTTCTATACTTTGGCTATTATGAATAATGCTTATAGGAACACTGTACAAGTTGTGTGTGGATGTATTTGTTTCATTTCCCTTGGATACAAACAGGAGTAGAAGTGCTGGGTCACACGGTCATAATGCAGGGAGGCGGCAAGAAAACTAGTGTTAAATCAAGCTATTCAGACTGCAATATGCTGATCAGCCCTACAGCCAGATCCCTAGGAAACCTGTAGAACAAAGGCAGATTTCTGCTGGAATTGCTAACAAACCATTTCCCTACGCCGTGAAGAGGAAACAGTCTTTAAGTTGTGCCCTGCACAAACTAAAATCATTCATTCCCTATGTCTAAAACCATGGGGAACCTATGGATCAAAGGATGAGAACTGTCAACAGGCCTTTCACACTACACATTCTTACCCTTACATACTATGTCCATACCGTCAAAGGAAAATGGGTAAACAAAGTCTTTAAACTATAATTCACAGAAACTAAGAATGATATATAAACTCAATTCCCCAAATACTAGGGGTCCCTCTCAGTGTCTTTTTCTCTCAGTCCTTCTTAGTGTCTTTTCCTCAGTGTCTTCACTCTGTCCCTCTCACTGTCTCTGTCTTTCTGAGTCTCTCTCAGGTCCTCTCACTCTCTGTCTCTGAGTGGAGACCACGCTTTCTGAGTCTCTCTCAGATCCTCTCACTCTCTGTCTCTGAGTGGAGACCACGCTCTGTCTATGGAACTTTACCCCTTCTCTAAGAAACTTTCCTTTTCACTCTACTTTTGGCACACGTTTGAATTATTTCTTGCGCTCAAAGAACCCTCTCCCTTGGTGCAGGCCCACTCGGGGGAATTTGCCCTGTCCTGCATCAGTCACTTTATGCTTAACTTTTTGAGGAACTGCCAAACAATTCTCCAAAGCAGGTGCACCACTAGCAGTGTATGAGGGCTCTAATTTCTCCACATTCTCACCATGACTTTTGCTTCTAACCATCCTTGTGGGTGTGATGTAGATGTCGTACCTCACTTTGGTTTTGATTTGCCTTTCCTGATGACTAATGATGTTAAGCATCTCTTCTAGTGCCTATTGACTCATTTGTATATCTTCTTTGGAAAAATGTCTCTTCAAAATCTTTACCCATTTTTTAATTGGGTTATTTGCCTTTTTATCATTGAGTTGTAAGAAAGCTTTATATATTCTGTATACAAGTCCTTTCTCAGATATGAATTTGTAAAAATTTTCTCTCATTTTTGTCTTTTCACTTTCTTGATGGTATTGCTTGCATAATTAAAAAAATTTTAATGGGACATTCACAGATCTTTTCCATGGTGCTTTCTTTCATTACCTTTAGGCTAAGTCCTCCTTCAGAGGTAGATATTCACCTACATTTCCTTATTTGTTTTACACTGAGCTCCACGACTTAACTGGAACTATAAAGAAAACATTTACTGCATAAGGCAAACACAAAGTCATTCACCACTAGATCCTCTTTCTATCATGCTCTTTAAGTTAGTATTAAACTTCCCTTGACTGGAACCTACAATGATGAAAAAGAGTGGGCAGGTGGGACCAGCACAGATCTCTTCTAACTGGAAGAAGAATTATGTCCTGAGGCAACACAAAAGCTCTCATCCAAAACTATATATTTTTGTCCTCAGCCTCAGCCTTTCTCTGTGGTGAGGCAGACCTTGGTTCTCAGCAGATAACCAGGGTGTAGACAGTCTCCCATATATACATGCCCAAATTAACAACTTCCTTGACATAAGACAGGCTGTTGTTATTCTTGCTGCCCTCCCTACTGCAATACAGCACTCTTCACAATTGGGGGTCTGGTAAGGAAGGAGCAGCTCTCTTAGAAAAAACACGTTTTGGGGATAAAAAAAAATGTGAGCTCTGTATCTGCTCCCAACTAAGAAAGAGAACAGGAAAATGAGTTTTCCAGAATATTAGGAAGCTAGCAGTAGACTCACTGTTCAAGAATTCCTGGCACTGACTCCACTCTCCTGCTCTCTCTTTCATGAAGCTGGAAGACAATGTTAAGTGCTTCCTGAATGGTGACTTACAAACTGAGTGTAAAATGACAGATCAGAGAAACAGATCCATAAGATCCTGCTTTGCATGACCAGTGTCACTCTGAGGGCCAATGGAGACTACATGGAGACCTGCTAATGTGGCTCTTGTCTACACAGTCACTTTGTTGTAAGCTAGCTAATCACATGAGTACTTTAACTCTACGCAGTGAGTGTGGTCTCTTACCACAAACCTGGAGCCCACTTGCCCTCTTGAGCTGCATAACCTTGGACAAACTTTTTCACCTAAGAATTGGTCAATGCAGCGGCTCCATTATGATGGCTAGAAGATAACGAGCATAAAATATAGTTTGTGGAACAAAGTTCCTCTCTCTTGCTGGGGAAGAGGAGAAAGTTCCTCTAACCATGGCAGGAATGGGATGGAGAGGAGGTGCAACCAGTAAGGATTCCGCTGAAGAGAACAGAACTTGAGACTAACAGACTTGGGCTTCAGGATGATCTTTGCTGCTTCCTAGGGAATCACTTTATTCTCTGGACCTGAATTTCCTCTCCTGTAACTGGAGATACTATCACAAATGGTTGTAGTAGGACTGAAAGTGCCAAGTGCTAAACAGATAGGTCCCCTGTCCACCCATGCATACACTCAACAAGTATTTATTGAGTGCATACTATGTGCTACACACACTTTTGCTGGGAAAACAGACAAGAATCCCTATACTCATGAGCCTTACATTCTATTGGAGGAAGGCAGGCAGACAAAAACCGAAATAGGTAAGTCTGTTAGATGGCAGAAAGTGGAGAAAAGTAAAGCAGTAAAGAGAAAGGATGATAGGGTGGGCCAGTGGTGAGGGAAGCCCATAGTAAGAAGGATATACTACACTTGAGCAAAGGCCTGAAAAAGATGATGGAGCAAGTTATGCAGTCACCGGGGCAGAGAGGCTTTACAATAGGAAAAAGGAGGGAGTGCAAAGATCCTGAGGTGGGTATGTGTCTGTGGTGCTCTGGGAACAGCAAGGAGGCCAGGGTGGCTGGAACAGAGGTGAGTTCAGAGAAGTACCAGGGGCCAGAATGGCCCTTTCAGGCCATTTTAAGGACTTTGCTTTTACTTTGAGTGAAATGGGAAGCTATTAGAACTTAGCACAATAAAACGTAGCATAATTATTGAAATTTATCAACCCTAGACAGACACAGGTCTACAATGAGTAATTGGTATAAATTTGCTCATGCAGTTTCCTATTTGAAAACTCCACAATTATCATTTGTTTTTAAATTCAAGCAAACTCAAACACGTGCTTTTGGATGAAATTGTTATCTATGACTGGCAATGATATAATGGGAATTTCTAGGCGAGCATACTATTCCCAGTGTTACCAGAGTTGAGGCTCAGGAGTTTATTCATGCATTCACTCAACCAGCATTGAGGATAAAAGAAAGAAATGAGACATATAGGAAGCTCAAAGGCTAGTGGAGGGAAACAGAAATATAAACAAGCACAAAAAGTGACTGAATCACGATGGTAAAAAACTGTTCTAGGTGTGGAAAGACCTCAGAAAATGGAGGAGATTGAGCTGAGCCTCAAGAGTAGCAGAGATGCCCTCCAGGTGTCCACTGAGTGTGAGTGGACAGAGACAGAGAGAAGTAGAAGAGGATACTGCAGGCAGAGAAAATAGTCTGAAGAAAGGTCCAGATGCTAGATCCTGATGGCAGATTCTGGAATGTGCAAGTGGTTTAGTAGGGATAGAGAAAGGATACTGTTATAGCTAAAATCTGCATTGGCCTGATTGTGGGAAAACTTGTAGGCTAAGTTAAGAAGGTATCCTTTACTTGAGGAAAATGCAGAGCCTCTGGAGAATTTTAAGGGTTACAGTAGCATGATCGCATTTACACTTTGGAAGAATAATTGTGACAGCAATGTGGAGGATGAACTGGACAGGTGTAAGGTGGAAAAAAAAGACAATTCAAACAAGAGATAGGGTTGTAAACTAAGGTAGTAGCAGCAGTGCTGAAAAGGATGGTACAGAACAAATAGGTATGTAGGTGACACACGGTAAGAGCTCAACACATAATTAGATGTCAGGAGAGACAGGTCTAGAAGTATTTCCCAGTCACAAAACAGTGACCATTTTGCACTAGACTAGGTACCCTCCTGCAGTAGACCAGGTACCATTTTGTAGGGGCAAATTCCTCCTCCAAGGCTGTGCATGTACAGTTTTTGGTATATGAGTTTAAGGTCTCTGTGTGCGATTTAAGCAGAGATGTCCAGAAAACAGTTGAATAAATGACTCTGAAAATCAGAAAAAGAAATTTGGGCTAGAAATTGGAGAATAGTAAATTGGAGAATATCAATCATGAAAGTGGTGAAATTGTTTAAGGATGACATTTAAGACAAGAAAGAACAGAACCTTGAGGAACACCAAGATTTAAAGAAAAGAGGGATCAGTTAAGGAGCCTGAAACACATTCGAATATATTCCATGAATGCAAGAAAACCTTGTTCATCAATGTGTCTCTAACTCCTAGCATACAACCTGACAAAAACTGGATGATCAATAAATATTTGTGGGTTGATAAACAGATCGACTAAGAGAGAAATGAATAAGTACTTGTCACAGAAACAGAAGAACCTTAAGACAATAAGGTCCTAGAAGAGGAAAGTTTCAAGGGTGTAGCCAAGACTGTCAAATGCAACAGTGATCAAATGAAGACTTAAGAGAGACCCCTTGATTTAGTAACTCGGCAGAGAAATACAGGGAGCCCGAGCAAAGAGAAGTTGTCGCCTGAACCGAGTCTTGAAGGAAAATCATTTTATAGACAAGAGACTAATTATGTGCTTGATTAACCGCGTTAGTCAAGAGGCATTACAGTAACTTTACAAACGCTGGTTAATTAACTAGAAGAATGGCGGATGATAACACTGCAAAACGAAACCCCCTGCACGCCAGCGAAAACTCTTTCGCCGTCCCACCGGGTTCTAAGTAATGCACGCCAGCCCGACGTTCCCGGAACTACGTGTCCCAGAAGGCCATGCGTCCAACAACCATGGACTCAAAGGATAAACTGAGCGCAAGACCTTTTGGGAACAGTAGTTTACGGCGCCGACCTCAGGAGACAAGCTCTCAGCACGCTTCCCACCAACTCCTTACTTGAGCTCCTCAGCCGAATACATCCCGAAGGAAATGCCCTGAAGCCGCCGCCAGGGCATGTTCTTTGAGCCTAACATCCTCCTGGTCAATTTTGAGTCTGACGCCCAGAGAGAAGTTACAAGTACCACCAGTAAATCCTTAACACCGCCGTAAGTCCGCAGCCACCATGTGACTTTAACTGCGCTTGCGCGCGACAAACGCTCACTGGAGGAGGTTGACGTGGATGAGATCACTTCCGCTTTGGGGAGCGATCACTAGCCCTCGTTTTGAAAACCGAAGATATATGACATTAATCGTTTTGGAAATTTTCTTAGAAGCGAGTGAGGCGTATTGAGCACTTAAATTCCATAACAAAGTCTTTCAAACCATGAGCTCGTAACCTATTTTATGATTGTTTTCAACTTACTCCATCTCAGCCAATAGCCGACCTATCCCCGCCCACCTTCCACCCTCCACTGGGTGATCATGAAGGTTTTCCCAAAATGCAATGGGAAAAAGCCAAAGATGGCGGTGGCATCGTCAGGTCGCTGGCTGAGTGTCCGCTGCAGGCTTTGCTCGCCGCTGACGGGCCGGTGGGCAGGTCCATGGGGACGAGCGCATAGGTGCAGGTAAGAGAGGCCTGGGGAAGCTACGAGGAAGACCCAGATGTAAACCTAGCCCCGTGTACCCCCTTTTCATTGACAGCTGCGGAACTAAGATGATGCAGTAGAATGCGCATGCGCTCTCGCAGCCGCGTGCTCCAGCAACCCGGCGTGCGGATCCCGCGTCCTTGAAAAAGGGAAGAAAACGCGTTTATTAGGGATATATTTATTGGTTGCCTGGCCTCCCCAGGAGTTAGAACTATTGGCAAGGCTAGGAGCCTGCCCTCGTGGAGCAAGCATTCTCGTTAGTGTGGCTACTAGCCTTCCATCCCCAGTTTTTTTTTTTTTTAACTCTTGGTTCTCACTCATTTTCACTCAACGGGAGGAAAGGGGAAAACTGTTAAGATTTTCCCAAACTAAAGGTAGCTTATGAGCGCCATGTGTGCTGGATGTTGTGGGGTATTTGGCCAAAGAAATTGTCCATGTGTTTATAGAAACAGAACAGTCTAAAAGATCTGAACAAGCCCCTTGGATTGCTCTTATTGTTAAAGCTTGAAACATAGATCGTTTTTTTTCCCCCCCACTTAGTATATATAGTGGCGTTGTGAAAATACAAGGCAGTAATTTGTAATGAAAAGTTGGGAAAGACCTAATCTTAGATTCAATGTTTGCCATTTCCATAGTGGGATGATAGGTAAGTTTTCTCATTTGTAGACCGGAACTAGTAAGAGCCATCCGAAAAATTGTGAGGAATAAGTGAGATGTGTAACTTACAGTATACATTTTATATGTAATACCCTCCCTCAGCTCTCAAGAAAGAAAACGTTCCACCTGGTACTGCAGAAGCCGCAATGCTGCTGTTCACAGTCGTTTTCTTGATAGTGCCCAGTGTCGACATTTTTCTACCCATTTCTTTCGTTAGACAACATCGTGTCTGTCTCAGCATTCACCCATGAGATGTTGAACAAAAAATTTTAACTCTCACGGCTGAAAGTCTTTTTAAAAGAAAGTTTATTAGGTTATTGCTAGCAAAAAAAAAAAATCGATCTTCGGCATGGAGTCAAAACCAGCAGCAGCATGGCTGGGTAGGAAATACAACATGTTGGTTTTCCCTTGGTTTTGCAAGCGTTTTTATACATCACTTAGTAGGGAGAAAGATGTAAGCTGTTCTGAAAGAATTTGTATTAGCTGTAGACAAAGAGGCTGAAATGGGGCCAGTTCTGGGATAGACACAGCAGAGTCCACAGTAGAATCCATAAAGCTCGTGTATAAACAAGAAGCGGAGGCTCCTGGGTCAACAGCATCCAGCTGTTCTCTCTTTTTAGATAATTTTGGATATAGCCACTACTTGGGAGGTAATTTAATAATTCCAACTAAGGAGAGTGAGCAGTGACAGATTAACCCCTTTTTGTCTCTTCCTGCTATCTGGATTGCTGTAATTTAATTTCGGACATCTTAGAATTTTCTCCTTATCAAAGATAGCAGTGGTCTTGTGTGTCCTGATGTCATAAGAAACAGCATGATTTGAAAGATTTGAGTTCTTTCTGAAGTTGATCCCTAGCAGAAGGGTATTGCTTTAAAAAGATGCCTGAGACCAGATACCAGTAGAGGAAGTAATTTCCTAATCATATTTTGACAATTTTTTGAATAGTACCATTTAAAAAGAGAATACACAAAGTAATAGTGCACATTACCTGTGTGGTATGTTGACTGTATTTCTTAGTGTGACCAGAAAATTTTAAAAGTTAGTCGTGGATCAGTGATTCTGTATTTTAGATTTTAAAAAATCAGCAGTTCCAAGTTTAAATTAGGATGTACATATTTGGTACATTCCTGATTGTTGAACAAAGTGGATTGAAAGGCCGTGGTGACCTTAGTTTCATAATTTGTCATGATTGCTTTAAGTGGGAAAGTCTTATTAGGACATTATCCATATATGATCAGCTTATTAAATTGTCCCTCGTAAACTTAGTTTTAGATTCCCAAAGTTAAAATTTCCTATATTTAAAATCAACTGTTCAGTTGTTCAAGTGCTATTAATATTTTCCTTTTTTCCCCGATTTCATTTAATGAGATCATCTGATTAAATTTCTTTGAAATATGAAATATGTGTTCATATTTTATATCTGTTTTGTAATTGTTTTGAAGTTGCTATTGAGGCCATGTCTTCTCAGTGTACATAGACGTGAATTATTCAGTTAGTTGGATCCATGATAATTGGAAAATTTGGGCTCAGAATGCACATACATGGAGATGAAGTAGGAACTTAATTAATGGTTTTAGCTTTAGAGCTTTTATTTTTTGCAGATTTTTTTGTGGAAGTGCAGCCCTCCCAAAGTTTGAAGGAGCTGATGTAAAAGGTACATAAAAATATATTGAAATAATTCAATTTTTATATTAACACATTGTACTTTTTTGTAATATTAGTATTGGGAAATTGATCTACTTTGTTTTAATTTTCACATTAAGGGACTGAAGAAGTGGTCATTCCAAAAAGGAAAACTTGGTGAGTATTCACTCAGTGTTCATTCATCAAGCGGTTGAGTACTTATTATGAACAAAACATTGTTAAATAACGATCCAGTAACATGAAAAACAATGAAGAGCTTTCTTAGGGAGGGAACAGCTGAGGGAGAAAAATCTTGGGAGTTTAAAAGAATATAAAAGAGGAAGGTGGGGAGTAGTGAACAAATGGGGAATAAGATTTACTTAAAAGAGTTAAAAGGCCTTTTGAATTAAGTTTGCGTTAATATTTACATAATAGTGATTAATCATGAGCATCATCTTTAGAATAGTTTATTTTTCTTACGGTAGATCTCATTTGGTTGGGAGATCAGACAGAAGTATTATCTTTATGGTCTTTAATGAAGTAAAATAAAATAAATGATGTAGACTGCAAAATTTATCTTTTTTAACTCACTGGATAGATCTTTGAACATATTGCCTTATTCATTCAACATTTGTTGAATACAAATGTTGTAAGCTTTGGTAAGAACTAAACTTTTTTTTTACAAATGTTCTTATGTACTAATATTATTGAATGCATTTAAAAGCCCTTCAAAAAGCCATATCTTTCCTGAGTATGACCTAAAGACCAAGGTTAATTTTTTTAAAAAGCTTTCTTAAATTACAAAAATATTAATGGTTATTGCCAAAAGGTGGATGAGATAAATTGAACATTCAGAAAGGATACAAAATTACTAGCAATCACACGCAGAGGCAAGTTATTTAACCTCTGTGCCATAGTGAAATGTAGATGATAATAGTACCTACCTCAGAGGGTTAAGCCTCCACATTGTTAGAGCTCAATAGATGATAGCTATTATTTCAGAGTTCTGGGGCATGACATTTTAAAATGCAAATTATATGTATATATTTAGTAAAATTGATTTGTGAGATGTACTGTTCTGTACTCCACTTCTGATTTTTAATTACTAAATACTATATTCAGGTTCATTTGTGCCTTCTCTGGCCTGGGAATCAGAAACAAGATAAGAGTAGGAATAAACATATTCATGAATGAATCATTTTCTTGAATGCCATTCAAGTTCAGAGCACTTTTCCAGCCTCTATCCCAGGTACTTACTACAGAGAATACAAAAAAAAGGAGCTTTTGGAAGGCATGTTCAGATGGCTTATAATCTAGTCAGGCCCCATGTATATTTTGTCCTTCATACCTTATGTTCACATTATATTCATATTACATGTATACCTAAATTTTACATGATTAAAGGCAACATAGGATATGATATAAACCAAGTGTATTTCTATTGCAATAATCAAGGGGAGTTATATTGAAAAATGTAGAAATTTACTTGTACCTTATAATGGGTAACATTATTTTTTAAGCATCAGGATCACCTGGGAATTTTGTTTAAAATGCATATTCCTGCAGGTAATTCTTCTGAACCCTAAAGTATGAGACCCAGAGATAGAGAGAACAGTAAGGTAGAGTGGGACATGATTATGACATGTGGATGAGAGGAGGCCAAGCAGGCAGGCCTATGAAAGATGCTCTGTTAGAACAGGGGAAATAAAATAGTTGATACAGAACATTGGTCAGCAAACTAAGGCCTGTTTTTTTTATAGCCCATGAGCCAAGAATGGTTTTTACATTCAAAAATTTTTTTTTAGTGAAAAAGTCAAAAGACTATTTTATGGTTTGTGAAAATTACATAAAATTCAAATTTCAGTGTCAATTAAAATGTTTTGGAACACAATCTCACTCATTTGTTAACATCATCTGTGGCTACTTTGTTACTGCACTGGGAGAACTGAGTTGTTGCAACAGAGTCCCTATAGCCCATGAAGCTTAAAATATTTACTGTCTGTCACTTTGCAGAAAAAGTGGGTGACGAATGTTCTCTGATAGCCTCTGAATTCTAGGCTCAGGAATTTATGCTTTTAGAGTTGGAAGGAGCCATAAGGACCATAAGTTACCGTTATCTCATTTTAGAGATGAAGCATGATTTGAGGCTGTGATTTCCTAGATCACTCAGGTGCCAAAGAAAACTAACAAATTGTGGAGAGTCGTTGTATGTTGTTGTATATGAATATGATGTGATAAAGGCAGTGTTCTGAAGAAGTTAATCTGAGTTGTATAGTTTTAGGATGAGCAGGGGGCCCACTTATGATCCATGCATAGGTAACCAGGCTCATCAAAGAAATGGATATTAAAATTTACTAGATTGGCAAGGAGAAGGTCTGGAGAAATGGTTTCTCAAATACATTTGCTGATAGGGCACTCAATTGGAACAATACTTTGGTAGGCAGCTTGGCAGAATTATAATTTAAAATGTCTAACCTTACTGGTTAGATGTTCTGAAGGGACACTTGAATATGGATGGGAAAGTTCTTTAGAACCTGCAGATAATGAGTTGAGCTGGCCTGAGTGCCCATGGATAACTAAGTGGATAATAAAAATAGTTATCATACAATATAACATTTAAAGGAATTTAATTAGGTTTATATGTAGTAACACGGATAATGCAGTCAAACTTATGTAAGCTCATAATGACAGTATGTGTTTTTTATGGTGATAGGTATATAAAAAAGTATAGGTATGTTTAAAAGTTCTAGAAATATAAACAAACTCACAGTGGAGAGGGTCATAAGATGACACTATACACTTTAGCATAACCTGTAATGTTCTAATTTATTTTTTAAGGATAATGTATTTCTCGAGATTGGTTTTTAAAATAACTTTAAAAAAAGTAGTGAGTAATCTGAATGTCACAATTTTTTCACTGGCATAAATAAATTTAGTATGTTATGAAGATGTGCTCACTTGGTAAGACTTAAATGTGCAAATTAAGATTTAGTTAGAGAATGCTGAAAGATGAGAGAATGTCTTTGTCTCTTGCTGAAATTACATAAACGTGACTTAAAAATGGGTAGAAAACCCGATGGATGTTATACATCAAGGAATTACTCAGCCTTGATGTAATGTAAAATTTCCTGTACTTTTGTCTTTCAGAAGATTTCTGTTGTTTTATATGTTAAATTTTGTTTAGAAAAATACTTTTGGTTTATTAAATTTTCATTTCCCTTTTTGAAATGAAACACATAAACTCTAACAGGAGTCAAAATGTTTGAAACCAAATTATCTTTCATTTATTTCAACAAAACCCCCTTTTCCAATAGTTCAGTAAAGATCTGTACCCACAGGCTCAGTGGACAAGTATCCTGAAATTCTTATAAAGATTATAGAGTTGAGATGTTCGTTCTCAACCAGGAGGGTCCATGAGAATCATCTGGGAATTCAGTAGTAATGCATATGACAGTTCTCCATGGAACGTAGAGGTTTTGATTCAGTAGGTCCAGAGTACAGCATGTGGTTTATTCTCATATATAACTGAATTAAGAACCACCAATTTAGATAATAAAGACAAGAGCAGTCTGGAAAGCTTTAGTAAGAATGCATAGGAAATTAGACAGAAGAAAATAAGATTCATGATAGAAATGAGGGTGGAAATCCCTAGGCCTGGATGATGGTATTAGGGTAGGCAAAGCATGGTAGCAACATGTACTAATTACCTTTAGGCAAAAGAACTAGACAATTTTCTCTTGTTATACTAGTGATCTTGAGATATAAGAACTGGCTTTACTTGAGACCTGAACTTCGTTATCGGCCAGTTCATTCTGAGTAGAATCACTCGTTCATTGTGTGAGTGTGAAAAGCCCTGATGAGGGTTAACTTGTGATTCTCATTCTTAGGGATAAAGTGGCCGTTCTGCAGGCACTCGCATCCACAGTAAACAGGGTAAGTAGGAATATTGGGTTTCTGTCTCTAACCCAGCTAATAATACATTTAATGTTCATACTTCATTATTCACGTTTAAACTGTTGTAGATCTAGAAAGTTTCTTAAAAATTAATCCATTCTCTTCATATGACACATGAAGAATCTAAAGCTTTTAAATTTTCTGACTTAGGGCTTGTTAGGATGTTAAAGCCTTGACTTAGTTTCATGTCTTTTGTTTCCAAATTCAGTGTTTTTATGTTATACCAGTGATCTTTAAATGTAATCCTCTGAAGGACTTGCTGAAATACATGTGCCTGGGAGATGGTTTGGATGTGATGCGATAATGCAAGTGATCTGTAGACCAACTGAGCAGTAGAGTACCTGCCATGCTGGAAATAATGAAATGATTAAGAATGTGGGTCCTGGAGCCAAATGTTTTGTTTTATAGCCTAGCAACTAGCTTTGTGATCATTATCACAGTTATTTTATCTTGATGCTGTTGTTCCCTAATCTGTAAGATGAGGATTAATTATAGCACCAAACCTCAAGGTCTGATGGAAAGTAAATTAATGCATGTATAGGGGTAAACAGTGCCTAGCACAAAAGAATGCTCAGTAAATGCTAGCTGTTTTATTATTACTACAACTATCTTAATGATTTATTTGTTAATTGGTTGAATTGACAGTAGAGCTTGTAGTGTGATAGAGAAACTGAAAACTTGGTAAATGCCTCACAAATGGGACTTTATTATCGATTGTATTTTTCATTAGCTAGAAACTACCTTTAATTTCAACTGGGGGGAAATGTCTAAAATAATTAAGTCCTTTCTTTTGCAACATTATGTGGATACTGATCCTCCATGAGGCCATGATCATGGATTTCCAGAATTGTTCTTCTACTGTAGATATTAAACCTAATGGGATGTTGGGCCAAATATGCACTGATACACCTTAGCAGTTTCCGAGGAAGCGTTTTAAATATCACATCTCTGCACTAGCAGGACATTGAGATTTTCAACAGCTTACTTATCCATAAATAGGAACCTGAAATGTAAATTAGGGAAATGGGCCTCTGAGATTACTCTTAGTTTTTTAATGAGAGTGGCTCAGAAGAAATTGTAGAATTGTATGTACAATTGTCTGAGCTTAAGGTCCTTAAAATCTAAGGAATAGTCATTTATTCATTCAGTACTACTTATCATACCCTTATGATGCTTACCAGGTACTGTGCTGATGGTTGTAGAAATAAGACAGTCCTTGCATGGTTCCTAGAGAGGAAAACTAAAGAAGCACCGAGCAGAGTGTACATAAGCCCGACTGCAAAAGGACTTCCAGAAGAGTGAAGTTAGATAGATGCTTGGGAGGTGAGCAGCAAGGCTGCAGTAATGGGAAAGAGCATTTCTGGCAGAGGCAGCAGCATGAGCATAGGCACAAAGGAATGGAATGAGGAGTTTGTATGATGGGAATCAAAGATTTGTGGGGTAGAGAATGAGAGATGAAGCAAAATCATGAATGCTATCCTAGTGATTTTTATCCAAGTCCATTGAAGAATTTTAAGCAGTGATGTGACGTTTCAGACAAATTTTAGAAAGAATAACAATGTGGAGAGATGGAAAACCTTTCCACTGGAATGTATGATAAAGATCTTAAATTAACATGTCTGAAACCAAATCCCTTTCCCTCCAAACCACCTCACGCGTTTCTTTGCCATTTTGTTAATGGCAGTTTCGTTCTTAGAGTTGCTCAAGCCAAAATCCTGGGAGACTTTTTTTTTTCTTTTACAGTAGTAAAGAAAAGTTTTATTAGAAGGGAAAGTATACTTCCAGAAGTGGAAGCGGGCCTGAGCAAGAGAAGCGTGGCTCAAAAGGCCAGGGGAGACATCTTTGACTCTTCTTTCTCTCATACTTCACATTAGTAAATTCTTTGTTTCTTCCTTGAAAATTTATGTATGTGGAGTTCCCAAGACCACTCCCAGGTTCAGTGATTTGCTAGGAGGACTCGGGATTTAGCATATAGTCCTACAGCCATGTTTTATTACAGTGAAAGGACACAAAGCAACATCAGCAAAGAGAGAGGCACTCGGGGTAAAGCCCAGAGGAAACCAGGTGCAAGCTTCCAAGAGGCTTTTC